ATTTTGGTTAATGTATACCCTTGGTTTATTGTTTCTCGGCCTGCTGTTCTTCTGGTAATTATGTTCTCTACTGCCTTTCTTTCTGATCCAAACATGACTATCCTTTGGGCTTCTTGTATTTCTTGTTGCGTGTATATTCCGCCGGCTGCCAATGGTTGTAGTGGGACCATGTCTATCAATGATTCTGTTTCTGTCGAGATTTCTGTGGGGTTGACTGCCTTGGTTGGGTGTGGTGTCAAGCTGATCCATTGTTCTTCTACGTAGTACATCGGGGGTGTTACATGGTTGCAATCTATTTCTTCGGCATAATCTTGAATTATTCTTGTTACTGGTGACATAAATTTTGATTGGTTTAGTAGGGTGATTTATATGCTACTTAGCCCTTTAATTCAACTTCTCACTCACTTGCTACGCTCACATTACACCAAAACAAGATCTCAACTATGATTAGGTATATGTCAATTGTCAAGAAAATACAGCCAGCTGTCAGATGTCAATATTAAATTTTGAAACTTTCAGAATAATTAATATGTCAACTAGGCCACACCCTAACATTTATGATTTCACTGATTACAATTTCTCAACTTGTCATGAAAGCAATTATTGATGGAAAATGTCTATTTTCAATTTAAAAGTTGAACAAAAAAGTTACCTGAATTTCACTAAATGTTATTTTTTTTCCTTTAAAATTTCTGGGGTTGGAACTGCGCTCGAATTCACTGCAATGTAAAAAAACTGGATCTCACACTGCGAAATAGCCTGGAATGATTTGGGAGAAACAAAATGAGGATGGAAACTGGGCACTGGGACGCAAACTTTGTAACTCGGCTTCTTAAAAGCTCAATAGAACCATGTGGGTATCCTTCCAAGTTGTTGGAAACGCCGTTTTACAAATTTCTCAGATAAGAGATAGCATTAAAACAAAACAGTGACTATTCTTATAAAAATTGACACATTGACACATTAGTCGAGTATAATTCTCTTTTTTACAACAAATTTGCCGATTCCTCCAGACTAAACACGCCGCGTCTGCTCTCTATAAAATATCTTGCAAATCTCACTTACTGCACAATTAACTGCCACAATACTACACATTTTCCCATGAAAAAAGACAAAAAACGAAAATCTATTACGAATTAGATTTAAAACACCGAAACCAACTGCCTTTAACAGCGGCCTCCATCGACCCAGCGACCACTGATAGTGATGTAATTCTCTTTAAAAATCATTCGCCCAACTCGGTATAAACAAAGCATACATGAACATATTCTGTTTATTGGACGCGCAAAATATCCTAAAGCGGCATCTTAATCAAAATAATACCGATTAAATACGCATTTGTGATATATAAACAACTTTAAAATGTGTTTATTAAAAACTCCAGCGATGCAAAAGGGATTGAAATAATATTTCGGTGTTTTAACATATAAGAGGTTATTTAAAATGCTACACTAATCATTTAGCAACTCCCTACTACGAGTATAGTGGGATGGGGGTAAAGTCCAAAAAGTGGGGTAAACCGCATCTACTTAAGAGACGTAGGGAGTTGGTAAATGTTGATATTTTCTCCAGATAAAGCCATCAAAAAAATTAATAAAACACTAACAAAAGGCGCAAGCCATAAAAAATACTAATAGACCCCAAAAACGGGCAAGAAGGGCCCACATCCTCGAGGGCCGAGTCACCGAACTGCGCGTGATCCTGAGAGGGTATTCGAGGTCCGAGCAAGCAATACAGATCGATGATAAGTCACTAGAGATAGCGGAAATAGAGATTTGAGAGGCTTTGAATCCAGGACTCCCACACGACAAGCAATTTTCTGCTAAGAGAGCCTTTATAGCGCATCAAAGCGCTATCGGGGGAGCTGGAGGGATTTATTTTTGGGCAAATTACATTTAATTTTGTACCTAATTGTTCCAGATGATTTTGCCATGTATTAGTACAGTGAATTTTAACCAGGTTCTTTAGATCGTTTTGATCTGCGTTTTTATTTCCGTAAATAGCTGTATGTGAAGGTACCCGTGAGTGTGGTTAAATAAAAGCCGCTTCCTTTTCTAATGATCAAAACGTTACTAGTTCATTTTAAGACATAGTCATAAAGTTCATAGTCTGTAATATATTTTTTTAAGACCTTCTCTCTATTCGGATTGCCTAATATAGGCCTATCCTAATTCTCGCCATTCATCTTGGAACTGCAGTTCTTTTAATATCGTCGCTCCAGCGCATTTGCCTCGTGATTTTATGACTTCATATGGCCGCCAATTCCCGATTTGTTTATTCCATTGGCCATCCTTAAGACGTTTGCTATGTCCAGCCCATTTCCATTTCAGTTGCCTGTTCGACAGCATCTTTTCTTCTCTTCTTCACGTGCCATCTCCGCGACGGAGGTTGGCAGTCATCATGGCTATTCTGACCTTAGATGCTGCTGCTCTGAATAGTTCAATTGATGTGCATCCGTACCATTCCCTCAAGTTACGTAACCATGAGATTCTTCTTCTTCCTACACCTTTCTTGCCCTGGATTTTCCCTTGTATAATCAATTGAAGTAGGTTGTATCTCTCATTACGCATATCATGCCCCAGGTATTGCAGCTTCCGTGTCTTGACGGTTTCCAATACTTCCATTCTTTTGTTGATTCTTCTCATGACTTCGTTGTTTGTCACATGCTCGGTCCATGATATCTTCAGGATTCTTCTATATACCCACATTTCAAATGCTTCCAACTTTTTAACAGTCGACGCATTAAGTGTCCATGCTTCCATCCCATAAAGCAGAGTCGAGACAATATAACACCTTGCCAGCCTAACTCTCAAGTCCAATTTTAGTTCTCTTGCACAAAGTACCTTTCTTATTTTATTGAAGTTTGTACGTGCTTTCTCTATTCGAACTTTGATTTCTTTGGAGTAATCGTTTCTGTGATTAATTATTGTGCCAAGATAGTGGTATTTTTCAACTTGTTCTAAAGCACTACCGTTGTGATTGTCAGGCTTTCACCACTATTTTGTGTTTTTGATATCCTCTGCTGATGTGCCTGCTGTTTATAATATAGATTTGTTATAATTCGAAGGTCATTGTGTTGTAGTTGTTTTGCTTTGAGGATGTCCAGTAGCTCTTTGTGGCGGACTTTGTCGAAAGCTTTGTTGTAGTCTATGAAACAGACGTACATATCTTGGTTCACATCCAAGCACATCTGAATTAGTACGTTGAATGCAAAGAGCATTAATAACCTGAAAACTACAGAGGTATCAACTTATTAAACACCACTTTGAAGCTTACAACCAAAATATTGCAAGGCCAAATAAATCAGAGAATTACCTTAGCGGATGAACAGCAGGGTTTTCGCACAGGAAGATCGTGCACAGATGCAGTATTCATCATAAAACAGATTACCGAGAAAGCACTAGAGTATAACAGACCAGCATTCATATGTCTAATAGACCTGAAGAAAGCGTTCGATAAAGTAAAGCTTAAAGATGTAATTCACCTTCTTTACGATAGAGAAATTTCACTAAATGTTATAAAAACAATAGAGAACATTTACCAGAACAACAATATGGAAGTCAGAATATATGACCAGCTTACAGATCCAATAGATATGGGCAATGGAATAAGACAAGGAGACTCGCTTAGTCCAACGCTATTTAATCTAATCATGGATGAAATCATCAATACTATTAATAAAGGAAGAGGATACAAAATGGGGAACAAAGAAATCAGAATACTCTGCTATGCAGATGATGCGGCCCTAATTGCATCCAATGAAGACGATCTACAAAGACTAACCCATAGATTCAACACAAGGGCAAAGGACTTTAATATGGTGATCTCTACACAGAAAACTAAAACAATTGTAATCAGTAAAGAACCAATTAGATGTAAACTGTAAATCGACGGTATCAGCATTGAGCAAGTAATGGAGACAAATTACCTAGGAATTACACTGTCTAGCTACGGAGATGTGGAGAAGGAAGTGAAAAATCAAGTACAAAAGGCTAATAAAATAGCAGGTTGTCTTAATAACACGATATGGCGCAATCCCCACATTAATACCGACGTGAAATCAAGAATCTACAAAGCAACAATACCACCAATAATGACATACACTTCAGAGACAAGACCGGATACCTCCAAAACTCAGCAACTACTAGAAACAGCAGAGATGCGTTTACTGAGGAGAATTACAGGAAACACACTGAGGGATCGAATGAGGAGTGAAGAGATCAGAAGAAAATGCAATATACCAGAAATAAATGAGTGGACACTGAACAGAAAAAAGGAATGGAACGAACACATAAACAGAATGGAAGAGACCCGATTAGTCAGAATAGCGAGGGACAAATCACCAAAAGGTAGAAGAAGTAACGGGCGACCACGCAAAAGATGGAGTGATAACCTCCAATAGAAGCATTAATCGACATTGAACAAGCATTTTGCTTATAAAAAAGAAGAAGAAGAAGAAGAAGAATGCAAAGAGAGCTTCACGGGTACCTACGCCCTTACGGAATCCAAATTGAGTTTCTTCAATATCCATATTAAGTGTTTTGTAAATGTGTTTATGAATGATCTTTAAAAACAATTTAAGTGTGTGAGACATCAGGCTTATTGTACGGTGCTCAGTGCATTCTCTAGCATTTTTCTTTTTTGGGAGACAAATGAATGTTGAGGTCAACCATTCGTTGGGTACGTTTCTAAGTGTATATTGATTTGTTAATATTGCTTTGTACTTACTTAATTACTCCGTGGCATTACAACCCTTCGTGTATTTTAGCTGACTCGCCAACATGCCTCCACTATTTTCTGTCTTGAGCAACCCTCATCCAATTCTCCACGCCCATAGTGCTTAGGTCTCCTGCCATATTCTCTCGCCACCGGAGACGAGGGCGTCCGCGTGGTCTCATTTCAGTTGGGACTTCCTCCCACACCAGTTTTACTGTTCGTTGGTTAGAATGTCTTCTGAGGTGTCCTGTTCATTGGAGTGTTCTGGATTTTATTTCTTTTATGATGGCGTCTGGGTAAAGTTCTTCGAGCTCTTTGTTAGTTATTATCCTATATTGTCCTGATGCTGCATCCAGCACAGGACCAAAGATCTTTCTTAGGATATTTCTTTTCTAAACAAATAGTCCCTCTTCGTTTGCCTTTGTTATCGTCCACGTTTGACTTCCATACATTACAACGGGTCGTATAATTGTTTTATAGATCTGTATCATCGTACGTCTTGTTAGTTGTTTCGATTTTATAAGGTTTTGGAGGGCAAATAGACATCTAGTGCCGACCTGAATCCTATTGTTTATTTCTTGTGATCCGTTATTGTCTTCAGTTATTTTTGTTCCAAAATAATTGAATTCTCTAATGCGCTCAAATTTGAATTCATCGATGGCGATGTTCTTACCTATTCTGTCTCTGCTTTGGTTATTGTGGCTCATATACATATATTTCGTCTTGTTTTCGTTGATTTGGAGCCCCATCTTCTCTGCTTCCTTCTCTAAGCTCTCGAAAGTCTCATTCATATTTAATCGTGTGTTTCCTATTTGATCGATATCGTCTGCAAATGCCAGTAGTAAGTTTGGTCCTTCTCGATGAAATACTGTATTTGGTTTTTCGATTCTTGCACTTCTGATTATGTGCTCCATAGCTAAATTGAAGAATTGTGGTGAAAGTGCATCTCCCTGTTTTAGTTCATTGTTAATATTATTTTGTACTTATTTCTTTTGTAAGGTAAAAAAGAAACAAGGCGGAGTTGCAATTTATGTAAAAGAAAATCTTATGTATTCTTCTCTTAATTTAAATGAATATAATGTAGAGCAAAGTTCTGAGTTTTGTGCAATTTATGTACCTTCAATAAAAACCAATATTTTAACTGTATACAGATCGGGTAAGGGTGACTTTGACTTATTTTTGGTGAATTTTGAAAATGTCATAACATCCTTGCTTAGTAAAGCAGACAAACTAATCATACTTGGAGATTTTAATATAAATTTTAAAATTGAATCTGACCATTTTTTTGATATTCAAAATCTATTAACATCTTTTGGTCTAAAAATAACTATAAACGATTATACTAGAATCACATCCCAGTCCAGAAGTTGCATTGACAACATTATGACAAATTTTTCTGAAAATATCTATAGAGTGAGCGTATTTAAACCTTGTTTTTCTGATCATTGAGCTCAATTTTTATTTATTGACTCAGAGCATAAAGTTATTGACACCAATCAAACATTTCAACGGTTTATTACTTCTTCTGGTTTACAGAAGCTTAAACGTGCCTAGCTATTACAAACATGGACTTTTTCTACGATATTAATAATGATCCTGATTCTTTGACAGTCTTTCTTACCGAAACTTATAACAATTTAATATTACAGTATTTTCCACTAAAAAAAGTACGACAAATGACTGAAAAAACACCTGTGCAATGGTTTAATAATGAATTAAGGTCTAACAGATCTAATATTTCTCTTATCAAACACATTGCAGAGGCCACTAAGGATCCCGATTTGTTCAAAGTATATAAACAACAAAAAGTTGAATATAATCGGCAATTAAAAATTGCTAAAAAGTCAACTTACTGTAATTTTATTACTAATTCCAATAATAAACCTAGAGACTGCTGGAAAATAGTAAATTTCGAAAGAAACTACACTAAATCCAGTTCGGTACAACCTGATCTACCTCCAGACGAAATGAATCAATTTTTTAGTACAATTGCAGAGAATATAATTACATCTCTTCCCACTATTAACGTCGATGTCCTCGTCAATTATAGAAATTATCCTTCTCCGAGCAAGTCCTTTTTTTTTCGGCCCGTTCTGGAAGAAGAGGTTTCTCAAATAATAAAGTCGCTTAGTAATTCTAATTGTAGGGACGTTCACGAGATTAATAGCAAAATTTTAAAAGAAACTTACCAAATAGTTTTAACACCTTTTACTCATCTTATTAATTTAATTCTATCCACTGGAGTATTTCCAGAAGTACTAAAATACTCAAAAGTACTACCAATCTACAAAAAAGGTGATTCCTCAAAAACTGACAATTACAGACCCATAAGCATTGTTTCTACTTTTGGGAAAGTGATTGAAAAGGTTATCAAACAACAATTTTATTCCTATTTTGAGTCAAATAATTACTTTAGCAACTCACAATATGGATTTAGAAGTGCTCGTTCTACTACGAACGCGGTATTTAATGTTGTGAGCGAGGTGATTGAGGGGCTTGAACGCGGCAATCGCATAGCAATTTCTCTTTGTGACTTATCAAAGGCTTTTGACTGCGTTTCACACGACATTTTGCTCCACAAATTAAATTACTATGGAATCAGAGGTATCCCTCTTAAGCTTATAACTTCTTATCTATGTGGCAGACACCAGGCGGTAGTGTCTAAAGGTCATCTCTCTGATTTTCTATCCGTAAAACATGGAGTCCCACAAGGTTCGGTCTTAGGACCTCTTTTGTTTATTATTTATGTCAACGATCTGCCTAAATTCATATCTCCGTACAAAACCATACAATTCGCAGATGATACGACATACGTTATATCAGGAAAAAATAATGATGATTTAAAAATGTCTCATGAGGAAGTTTCTACTAAATCTAGCTCATGGTTTGCTGCAAACAAACTAAAACTTAACTCTGATAAAACGCAAAATATGGTTATATCTGCAAGTAATTTACACAATGATCTAGTTAACAAAGAGACTGTTAAACTATTGGGAATAACCATAGATAATCGACTCAACTGGTCTGCTCATATCTCACACCTTAAGAAACAGCTATCAAGTTCATTATTTGTTATTCGCCAACTAGCAAGGGTTGTCAACTTTGAAACATTAAAAATGACATATTTTTCTTTATTCCACTCTCACCTAAACTATGGTTTAATTATATGGGGCAATTCAACAAATGCACTTCAAATTTTTAGAATACAAAAGAAAGCTGTCAGGATTTTAGCAGGGGTTAGTTATCTAGAACACTGCCGACCTTTCTTTATCAAATTCAAAATTATGCCGCTACCTACTCTGTTGATATTTCAAGTTTTAACTCAAATTCACAGAAAACGTGCCCATTTAATAAAGCAGTCTGATGTCCATGTTCACAATACGCGAAACTGTCACTACCTACGAACAAATCGCTGTAGATTAAGTCTTTCAGAAAAAAATAGTCTTAATTATAACTATTACAATATTTTACCAAAAAGTATAAAAGAGCTAAGCTGTAATAGTTTCGATAAAGTTATAAAAAAATATCTTTTAAAACATTGTTTTTACTGCTCAGAAGAATATATGACTCATTGCAGAACATCCACTGAACTGCTTACCGTAACTTTGCCATAAATATTTTTCTGTTTAATATGTTTTCATGTTTGTATTATTTAATGTTTTATTATTTAATACTATGTATGTTTTTTTTTGACTTGCTACAAACAATATTTGTATATGTTATGTAGTTAAATAAATACTCTACTCTACTCTACTCTTATGTAAACTCGTGTTCGATACATAAAGAAAACATAAAGAAAACATAAAGAACAAAACAATATAGTATTAGTAACAGCGTTCTGTACTCTTAGTTAAGTTTTTTGGAGAAACTGAATACAATGAAAGTAAGAATTGTAAGTAATGTAATTTAAGAATTCCCTATATACATCGTCTTGAGCGACATCAGGCCTATAATTTATTAAATCTCCTTTACAGGAAATTTTCAAACACGATTTGGTTCCTTTATATTTCTGATTCTTTTTATAAAACTTTTCAATTCAATCATAAAACCACATGAATATCAGATGAATTTTATTGATTTTCCGGTTCGGTTCACATTCCTTCTCGCAAAATGACCGAACAATTTGACTTTTTTATGTGCCATTATGCGAAAAATACTGTGAAAGTGTCTGTCGAATTTTGGAGTCCCTTGGGCCATTCAAAACAATTCCGCCCATTATCCTCTGTCCCAAAAAGTGACTATGAATAAGAAAAATCCCAAATGCCGTGTAAATTCGGGTGGAGAATCGGGTTGTTGCAGAGAGCGGACCAGAGCAGAGAGCCAAAATAAATATATTCTGTATTCTGCGTTGTCAAGCGTTGGTGAAAATTTGGAAGAAAATAATTGTTTAAGCTTGACAGATGTTACTGTTTTATCCGAAACGGGAGAGAAGAATAAAAATATAAGAATCTGTTAAGTACACTTACAGTCTCTTTAATGTTTCATAAATTGTTTATGTTGCATCTTAGTTGTGCATTTTCCCGAGTAAATAAAAGTGTAACTCATTATTTTGCTTATCTATATAGAGATTTGACCTCAAAAGGCAACTTTTTCCGAAAAAAAGATACAAAAAATGAGATATGCTAAATTAAAATCGGTAAATACACAAAAAAGTTATTGCAAAATGAACAACAAAACCGTTGTTTTTGAATATTGTTAATAATTTCTTTATTATTTATTAAAGTTTATTTAAATGTAGCTGAACTTGTGGGTGTTATTGTGTTTTTTTTTGAGATTTTTCGAAAAAAGATCCAATTTCTGTGACTGGTCCAGATAATTTGACTGAATTGATCTCAATAATCCGAGGCGTATTTTCTTTGCTAAGATGTATACTATTAAAAAAAAAGTTTAAAAAAATTATATGTATGCACACAAAATGATCTAATAATAAATAGCACTTTTTAAGCTTATTTACTAACACAAATGAATTACTTATTTGAGAAGCTCCCAAGGCACAAAACTAAAACTAAAACAAGAAAAAACTGTGTGAGGAAAACACGAAGATTTCTACATATTAAAAACTGACCTCTAAACTATTAAAACTATTAAACTGGGAATAAGCCACAATTAAAGGTAAAAAATTCGTTTATTGACGTTTCAATTTCCACTTCGGAATCGTTCTCAAAATACAAACAGTTTGTATTTTGAGAACGATTTCCGAAGTGGAAATTGAAACGTCAATAAACGTATTTTTATCTTTAATTGTGGCTTATTCCCAGTTTAATAGTAATTAATTTACAATGCCACAAGAAAATAGCTTCCGAACAATATCAAGACCCTTAGGAGTCAAGATAGCTTCTTTGTTTTAATCACTGTTACGTTAGTTAACAAGTTATTAAGAGCTGAAATTAACCAATGTTTTAAAAGAAAAGTCAAAGTTTAAACAAAACTTTTAGCAAACAAAATTATTGAAAATCATTCAAACAGAAGTGTTGTAAACAAAGAGTACTTTGCGTTCTAACTAGAATAAAAGTGAATTGAATATATTAATAAACGAGTAAGAAAAAAAATTACAATAATTATACAATAAATCAATGCAAAAAATCCATAGAAAAATAAAAAAGTTCCTCCCCGGCGGGGAATCGAACCCCGGTCTCCCGCGTGACAGGCGGGGATACTGACCACTATACTACCGAGGACTACATAACAGTTTGATAAAATTTTTGGTTATATA